ACAATATCAACCAACTCCACCCAGATGGAGATGACCAGGGTGTTCATCTCCATCTGGGTGGAGTTGGTTGATATTGTGGAGGTGGAAATATGCAGACCAGATTGTGTCATTGATTTGTCTCAACTACTGTAATTCTCTTTTTTTTGGTCAACCCTCAGAACCACTCCATAAACTTCAACTGGTTCATTATTCTACTGCCAGCATCATCACCAGAACTCCTTCCTCTAATCACATCACCATTGTCCTACGACAGCTTCACTGTCTTCCCATTAGTTTCAGAATTATGATTAAAATTCTTCTTTTTGCTTATCAGGTCATCCTCTCCCCTCCATATTTATCCACACTGTTCCACAATGCTGTTCCCTCTAATTCCATCAGATCCTCTTCCTCTCTCCATATCACTGTTCCCTCCCCCTTGACTGGACACCATGGGCTCCAGCACTTTTAACTGCTCTGCTTCCAAACTCTGGAACTCCCTCCCCATAGACCTCCGTAATATCAATTATTTAGTTGTCTCACCTAAAAAACGAACCTGTTCATTCATTCCATCTGTTACACTGCTGTATTTTTTCAGCCTTTCTTAAACCTTTGTATCTGTTTTTGTTTTTCTTTTATCCGTGTGCTATTATTGCATTCTGGCCTTTTGAGTTGTTCCCCTATTTCTCACTTTACACTTTACAGTGTCTTTCAGTTTCTTGAAAGGCGCTTTACTTAAAATGTATTATTATTACCACAGCACCCCGGCCAAATTTGTTTAGACTTTGGATACTTGCAGAGATGGAAAGTAACGAAGTACAAATACTTAATTACTGTACTCAATAGATTTTTCTGATATTTTTACTTTACTTTACTACTTATTTTTATGGAGACTTTTTACTTCTACTCCTTACATTTTTACACAAATATCTGTACTTTCTACTCCTTACATTTTAAAAAATTGGCTCGTTACTTTAGTTTTGAATCATTTCAATGGAGTTACCGTTATTATTTTTCACGTCATCAATACCAAATTCAATCTAATTGGATGGGAATCTACGTTGCATTTGACGCACCACTACAAGATGAATCGACAGATTCGGCGGTATTCATTCATGGCAAATCATTGCAGCTTGGTGGCGGTGGCGTTAGCATAGTAGTATGGACGACGAGATGATTGAAAATGAACACAACGGAGATCTACCGGTAGTCCTATTGGCAGACATCCATTTAAAATGTAGGCAACGGCATGAAAAAAGTGGTTTCTACTTTTACTTTTATACTTTAAGTAAATTTACAAGCCTGTACTTTGTTACTTTTACTTGAGTAAAGAAGTTTAATCAGTACTTCCACTTTAACCAGAGTATTTTTTTAACACAAGTATCTGTACTTTTACTGAAGTACGGAAAGTGAGTACTTTTGCCATCTCTGGATACTTGAAACCTTTATTTTTTTTTTTTTCATGAAGGGTCAGATCTCTAGAATTGCACTGCCCAGAGTGACTGCATATTGGACTAGCTCTGGTAGCTTGATTATGATATTTTTTTCTGAAAAGACCATAACTTACTATGTTTATGGAATTAAGTTTTTTTTTTCTGATAATTGTCATCTCTGGTGTTGGATGATGTGCGGATGAAAGAATTTCCGCAGTATATTTTTCTTTATTGGAAATGTCTTACTATGCATAAGCATAGCAACCAAGTTCCTTTTTTTTCACTCAAGAGCAGCTCATTCATATTTCAAAAGCTGAAACAACACTTCAAGCGTTTCTACTTCTAGTCCCAGCTGAGTTGAAAAGGAGGTGCAGAGGAGGACCATAGAGAAGAGTGAGGTGGAGGAGGTACTAGCCAAGTCTTTTTCATCAATTATGATAGTCAATGTGAGATCTTTATGAAACAAGTTAGAAGAACTCCAGGCCCCAGCTAGGACAGAGCCAGAATATCAGGAATGCAGTATTATGTGTTTTACTGAAACATGGCAGCAGGATCATATCCCTGGCACCGGTGACTCTCTCCCAGGCTATCTAGACATGCGAGCAAAGATTCTATGAAGGTTGGAGCACTCAAAGGAAGTGCATTGCCAGTGCTTGTACACAACAGTGTCATCCAGGACATGGTACTCTGAAATTTTGTGGAGGCATCAACAAACATGTGGATCAAAGGCTACCTGACTAACATATCACAGTTAATGACACTGAATGGTCAAGTGTCTAATCAGGTAGTCATTACTACAGGACCACCACAAGGGACGGTACTCCCACCATTCCCTTATAATATGTTCACTGAGTCACCTGTCACCTGCAAAAATACTAGGAAGACTCTGCAGTCACTGGGTGCATCAAAGATTGACAAGAAGCAGAGTCTATGGAGTTAGTGAACCACTTTGTGGCATGGAGTGGAATACAATCATCTGATGCTGAATGTGAACAAAACAAGGGAGATCATTGTTAATTTCGGAAGATACAAGAAAAAGCCAAATCCTATTACCATCATAGGAGAAGAAATAAAGGGGGTGAATTAGTATAAATACCTTGGCTTTCACCTGGACAACAAACTCAATCAAAACGTAACTATGAAGTCATCTACAAAAAGGGACGGAGCAGACTGTGCTTCTTAAGAAAGGTTAGGTTCCTCAGTGTGGAGAGTGTGATGCCTTCTGCCATCATCTGCTGGAGTAACAGCATCAGAGCAAATTACTTTAAAACAGCCACAAAATAGGCTTAAATTGGATGCAACTACACTTTCACTCTGTCTGAAGACGTTTCCAAACCTATTCAGGAGTTTGTCAGTTCTGTTGGCCCAAGCAATCTGTAGTAGGTGCCCTGATGTTTTAAGCAACATGGTCCAGCCTTCTAAGGACATTCCTAGTCAGATGCAAATCAAAGACCCACAAGTTGTTGCCCTGAGTTGGTGTTTTTTTTTTTGTGTATGTGTTAAGTGTTTGGCCATTCGAGTCATGATAAGTGTGCCTGTGCCATTTCTTTGGAAGGATTTCCAGAACGGAACTCTAGATACCTGGAACCTGAAATCACAATCTCTCCCCTCCTTTTGGCTTTTTCCATTTAAATAAGATGGTTTCCTTTACGGCTATTTCAAACTATTGACCTTTCCTTTACCAGACTGACACACCATGTATACATCGTATCAGTATGGTTGGCCAGGCTAGGTTTGGATCGTAATAAAAGTGAGTATAAAAATTAATAATTCAACAAACATTAGTTCAATTTAAAAAAACTCACACGAAGAGAAAAGACAATTAGAGGAAATGTATTGATACAATTACTTGGTCTTTAGCGCTCAGACCTCGGCAGGAAACTTACAGCTGAATTTTGATTGATATGCATAAACAAGAGTAAACAACAGGGCAGTTTCCCCCCCAGGCCTGAAACTGGTGGTGGAGTGGAGATAGATGAAGTTGGTCAGTCTGTAGACTGCTGGTTCGTGAGACGGTATGCTGAGCTTTATGGGGAGATCCAGTGGACTGTGTGAGCTGATACTAGGGCTTAACTCAGGGACCTGGAAGATGGAAGTCCAGTTGAATAACACAGGTTCAGAGAACCTGTCCATGATGCGCAAGCATGAAACGATAGTGGAGAGGAAAAACTCCCCGTTGGTAAGAAACCTCTGGCAGGACCAGGCTCAACATGGCGGTCTTCTGCCGGACTGATTGCGATGAAACAGGGAATGTAGTATGAGTCCTGGAGAAATGACACTCTGATTAAGCTTTTAGCTACGATGGTGGAGGAGGGGCACAGCGCAAAAACCGCCTGCTGATTGGCTTTCGTGGAAGTGTGGTTCAAACCTGATTGGCTGTGTCATAGGTGGATGTAGGCGAGCAATCAGTTTCTTCAGTTGAACTTCCGCCTAGGCACCATTTCATATTTTCTCTGGTATTATATATCTGACAACTTTAGAATTTTGCTTGAAATGTAAAATATCCAATGGTGACCAAACAGGGGAAAAAAGGGAAGAGACCTGTCACTAAGCTTCTTCTAATTCTTATTTTGCACATAAATGTATGTATAAAAAAAGTGCTCATATGTCTTGAAAGTTTTCTATAAAATCTTTTTTACACAAAATCATATGTCTTGTACTAACTTACTTTTCTGCATGCCTTTATATACCTTTTACATAAGACATAAATTATCTGTAGGTAAGAATCGTTTAACTAATAATAAGGATGAATTTCACATTTAATGTCATATTTTCTTTTCAGTTAGGTCCTCCTATTCCTAAATAATCACTTTATCTGAATTTGTAACAATAACATTCAAAGTCATAATTAAGAAGTGAACTGTTTTTTTGTTTTGTTTTTACAATGAAGATGATAACTAATACAATTATTGGGTACAAGGTGTTATTTCTGGTAGTAAGCCAATTCAGCAGTTATTTGTCATTAGATGATTCATTACACATATGGAAAACATGGAGTTGTGAGTCATTACTTGGTTTATACATATTACATTTATTTATTGTGCTCTTGTATGCATAACTATCTGCATTAATCTACAAAATTTGATCTGGACAGAGGTTAGTTTTTCGCATTTTTCAAATGTACGTTTTAAACAATCCTTTTTTTTTTGCTTTTTAGAAGAAAATGGAGTCTGTCTTTAAAAACATTGTTTATAAAGATAAAGAGTAAAATAAGCAACCTATAGCCTATCCTGGGTGTTTTTTAGCAGGTGTGTGGATTTAGCCCACCATCTAGTGGTTCATAGCTCACTATTTAAACTGATTGGTTGGTTGCATCCAAAATAAATACTTGTTGCATTACATTTTATTTAATGCATTAATGCATTAAATAAAATGTCATTATTATTAATCTCTCCCTTGATCGTTTGAAAATATCCACTGAACTCCCATATGATGAAGTTTTCAAACCCCAGCCCTCCACGTCGTAATCCACACTTCAAGTGACTCATATCACCAGCAGCCGGTTAACGTGAAGATGGTCGGGATTATTTCCCCGCCTCAGATCTTGTCTCCACGCGTGTTTACGCTCATGTCTGCCACACGGCTCTGGCTCCCAGCCACCCAGCGGTATTTATAGTCATACAGCGGCGACCAGCAGCACTCCAGGAGAGATCTTCATCTGAGCGTCAAACTTGGACTGACTGAGTGACAGGAGGGACATGGATTTAGGATCCAGCTCATGAGCGCGCGCACGGCACCTCGAGGTAAACCCATCAAATATGGATAGCTCCATTTTTTTGGTTGGTTTTTCTGCCTGTTTGTCGCGGGTGTTAATTCAATCCTCCAAATTGCATTTTTGTAATTTATTTCCATACTTCTGAGTGTTGCCTTTTCTCCCTCCTCCTCTCACTTAACTCCACAGGAATAAAGAAACGGCAGCCTATTTAACAATACCTGTTAGGAGGCAAGTTAATGCATTTGCAAGGCGACGCGCGGCTGACGTGTACAAATTGGAGGAAGGGGGGGCGCCTGTTGTTTTAGTGGGCATTAATTAAATGAAATAAGCCTGGGATCTGACATTTGAATTTAAAACAGACAAAAACTAAAACAACTCCACATATTTTATTTCAATATCAATGCACAATGTTCACATTTCTAATATATTTTGATTGTTTTTCTTGTTTGAATTGTCCATCAGATGAGGGATCCTCCTTGCTTCTTGTACAGTTTATAGCCTGTTGATATAAGAAACCTTGACCTTTAATTACCCCTCATCTGGAGCTCCACAGCAGACTGATAAAACCACCTACAGCTAGTTCTTTTGTGCAGCCAACTGCTCAGCAGCATACAGGTGCCATCAGGCTGCCCTTCTAAATGTGTGTGCTGACCTTGCAGCCTCTGCCAGCTCTCACAGAGGCGTTGCTACTGTGTTTGGAGCACAGAGCTCAGCTCAGGCTGTGTCCAGTTCATGTCTGAGGAGCCCATGCTGCTGATGATGAGTGAGTCACCAAGCGCTTTTTTGCTTCAGCTCCTCCACACTCAGTCATCTTCCTTTCAGCTTCCAACTCAATGGAAGTGGCCTTGTTTTGTCTGCCTCCTGACTGACTTGCTCCATGCAAACTTGCTGTTTTTCACCCTTTTGATACTCCATCTGACCCCTTTGAATGTTTCTGTCTCAATAAGACACAAGTCTCGCTGGCAGCAAAAAGAGAGAGGGGGAGAAAAAAAGCTTCAATTTGTTAATTCTTAGCTATATTTACCCTGAAAACGACCCAACTTAAGTAAATGCCTCCTTGGGTGAGCCCCACCCTCCGTGACTGAGAATTACACAAATCTCGTTTATCTTATTGAAAAAAAAAGCTGTTTCTCTGTATCACTTAACATTTTACCCAGACTCTTTTAAATTAAAATAAATTACCCCTGGTAATTTAGTATTGAATTAGGCACAAAATGCAGCCTTTTTAACCAGCTATATATTTTATTACAACTTCCATCATGGACAACGCAGTCCATTTACATTGAAGTGACTAGAAATGACCAAAGTAGTGGTCATTGATATGAACTTTGGTAAATGACGAGGTTTATTTAATGAATTTACAAGAATGCTGATGGTCTTTATAAATGTTAAATCAGTCTGGGTTCAATAATATGGGTTCATAAGAAAAATGTAAGTTGTGAACCCTATATTCACACATCACAGCAGCAATAATATCTTTTAAACTGTCCAAACATGATTGATTGCATGTTGTGAACAAAATACTTTTAGATTCCTATATTACTGGCAAGTTGAGTCTATTTAGGTTTACCCTTACTTTTCATTGCTAGGTAAACAAACATAGTAAATATCTAAAAATGCATTTAAATGTAGAGCAAAAAAACCCAAAAATTTCTGTAATTTTTTTAAGTTACAAAGAGTGCTATATTCCAAATATTTATTTATATGCATTTTAAACAAAACCCCCTATAACTAATACATTGTTTTAAATAGGCTCTGCTTCTCAGTCTTCTGAAGGCAGTGGTTGTCTCTGATGCTTCAGTATGATTTTTTTTTTTTTTTACACTTTTTCCTTACACAAAACCTTCTGTCAAGATCCTTGGATACATCACTTAGTAAAAAAAAAAGGTAGCTTCCTTGGCAATAGCCTTTAATCATAAAAACCTCAGGGATTACCAGTGAATGGTACTTTTTTTTTTTTTTTTAGTAAAACATGCTGAATCTAAATCACCTTCTCTTTACTATACAAAAGAATATTAAATCATAGAAAACAATAGTTTTATAAATTTATAAATTTGCATTTATAAGATAAAGTTATAAGACAATGGTTTCATAACGGCTTAAACAACAATTGATAAAACTACAGTGAAAAATTGATCAGCAATAGAAAGCATAGCCAGATCCAGGAAGGGGTTGCTTTTAAATGCTTTGTATTCTAAATGCAATTATTTGTTCTTGTTGTTGGACAAAGGCAACGAAAAAACATAACAAATTTGGTTGACAAATCAGTTGTTGGCATCCGTGATTTCTCCTTCAATACAGACTCTAACTAGGACTAGCGTCACTTTAATTTGCCCATATTTTAGTCAAAAGTAATCTAGGTTTGGTTGTTGTACATACTTTAATATTAAAGATACATGTTTTTGGCTTTTAGAAATTATTTACAGGTTTTATTCATAAAAGTTATTCTTGATAGCCGGCCTCATAATCTAATGGTAAACACTGCCAAAGTGTAATGTATCTGTGTAATTCCTACCACAATTCTTAAAATAATCACCACCCTCAGTTCCCTTATGTTTAAATAGTTAGCCTTTGAATTAAGAAAAAGGGGACCTAGCTAAAGACTCTAACGATTAGTTTTTTATGTTTCAACCAACAACATGCACTTTGAGGTACTTTCCTTTAGCTTTCCTTAAACTGTTCCCATTTGGATTCTGAGGCACTAATTTCCTCCTCTCCTAGAAGAATCAGACATCAAATGCAACATCAAAAGACATTTTAAGACCACTAAAGATTCAAATAAAGCAATGCATAAAAAAGTCACTCATAAGTCATTATTCTGACTCTCATTTCCTGTTTAAAGAGTTAATAATGTATCAGTGCTATAGACATGTCAACAGGAAAATGATTCTATGGCTAAATGAAGAACTTGGCATATGAACAACAAGGGTACATAGTGATAATGTCTACACATCCAAGTGACATGTAATTAGAGGTAAACATGGTGCAGCACAAGCTACTCATTTATCAATCATTCGCTGTTATTTAGGTATAGTTCAAAGTATTTTCTCTTAAAAAATAAACATAAGAATCTCTAAACTAATAAAAGAAACATTTTTATTAAATAATGGTCAAATATTCCTTTTGATTAATTCATTAAAAATTAGGCTAATTCGTCAGCCTGGGGTGCTGATCGAAAATATAGAAGTTGTGAACCCTTGAGCACCAACTCAACCTAAGCTGAAATGTTGAAGCATTTCAGTCCAAAGGAGTATCTCTGCTGTGGCTTGTCAATGCTTCCTTAATTGATGCCGCCATTTCTCATAACTTTCTCCTTTTCTTTTCTGCTTTATCCAGATTTTTAGAATTATGGTGAACCTGGGAAACTCCTGACCCCTGCAGATATGCACACCAGTTCAGATCAGTCCATCTCCCGTTCCCTCACACCAAACCTCCGCTCTTCATCACGCTGTGGAAACACTCATGTCCAGTCCTCATTGTCCCTGCCAGAGCCTGAGGACTGGAGGAGACCCACCTCTGCTGCCCGTCCAGGTTTGGCTCAAGGAGCTCGTTCCTGCTCTCTACAGGTCCCTCACACTGACCCTGAAAACCTGGGCCTTCCGCCTCGTGCTGCCAGTTTTGACGTGCCCTACAATCGCGAGGACGGCTCGTCAGATCAAGGCTCAGGTTCCCTCAGCCCCCATGCTGCACTGCGGCGACGCGGGGGTCTTGTGGAGCAGAAAGACATCATCATGGCCCACCAGGCTCACAAAATACAGAGCACGCCACAAGCCCGCAGGAAGGAGTGGGAGTGAGTATAAAAGAGCTTCCAATTCAAAGGATTCTTTTTAAACTGCACATGTAAAGATGATAGGTCTGCAAGGAGTAGGATGAATGCTCCAATGTAGAAAAAAAAATCATACAAGCCCAATGCACCGCTTTACTTATTAACCTTTAGCTTACATCTGTAAGGAGACAGAATTTGTCAAAAGTATAACCTCAAACTTTTATTGAAAAGCTTCTTTTTCCCATGTTTCTAAAACGTCCTAAAAACAAGCTGGCGTGAATAATGACAGGGCTGCTCAGCTGGAAATACAATGTAAGCCAGTACTGACAGTAATAATTACATCTGCAACTCCTGCTGCGATGTGTCTGTCTGTCATCAAAATAGCAGAAGATGTAACACTCTGCAGCCTCAGCAGATACCTAATACACCAGGACATTTCCATGTTTACTAAAACTGTAGCAATTAATGGGTTATTATATGACTAAATTACTCCTACAGAGATTTAAATGTGTTTTTATCCAATAGCTTAGAGTTTACGAGCATCTTTTTTTTTGTTTCACTACCAAATAGCAATAAGAGAGAGGAGCATATCAAATGACACAGAAAAGCTGACTAAAAACAAGTGGAAATAAATAAAAATTAAAAATGAACGATACAGTTGCTTCTTTTGGCTGAAGAAAAGATTTTCCAAAAAAATATTTTCAGCCAATTTTATTCTCCTAATGGGGAAACGTATCACGTAGCAATGAATTTAGAATTTTTTTAATATGATCATTAATGACCGACACCGAAAATACATTATTTATTAACCAGGCTGCTGTCAGCCTGGTTGCTTTTGTTGACTCTACAGCAGTGGTTTTCAATGTTTTCCAGGCCAAGGACCCCCAAACTGATGGAAAGATGGAGCGGGGACCCCTTAATTTTATGTATATATTGTATGAAATTGTGTTATATCAAACCTGTCCTATAATCACTCTATTACATATGGAGTAAAGAAAGTAATTTCACCCTGGGATTATTATAGTATTCCTGATTCTGATTCCTATGATGGGACAGGTGTTGTGAATGAAACAGTGCTCAGATTGAAAGAGCTCCTGTGTGTCACTGAATGTGTGCATTGATGACTGAAAGACATCTTCTGCCTCCATTTATCTGTTTACTACAGTGTGTTGAATTCATGTTAATGTGTATTTAAAGACATTTCAATTAGTAAAAAAATTGCAGTAGGGAACATAACAAAAAAATCTAGGCAACCAAAACTTTTGTGACCCCCAAACAGTACCTCCCTGGACCCCCTAGGGGTCGCAGACCCCCTGTTGAAGACCCCCGCTCTACTGTGTGTAAATAAAGAGCAACGATTTGTTTAACATTGCTGATATTATTTGACTGTTGCTGAAGAAGTCAGGACATCTAAAAACCCACTCCATCATACTGGTATTTCACCTCTTTCAATGAAATCAAGGCAAAGTGATGAGAATGTTGGAATTTGGAGGAAAAAATGTAAATGCAACCTAACAATGAACATCAGTAATACAATAGAAATTTTTGGGTAGAAAGTTATTTGCTGTTTTCGTTTCTTTCTTCTTTTTTTTTTCAAGAGCAGTTTTAAATGGATTTTTATTTTTGTGTAGGATTCTGTTTTTGTTTTATGAACTGAGTCATGAGCTAACGATGTCATATTTTCATTAAGATCTCACCAGCGCAGCTAAGCTCTTATTGTATAACTTCCCATACTTGCACAACACATTTATTATTTTTTATAGATATGCTCAGAAAAGTGATGCATTTTCACAAAATATAAGGCTTTTAAATTTAGACCACATAAACATGCATAGAATGTTTTTTAAAAAGAAATTAGCTGAAAAACTGCAAAAAATAAACTATTTAAATTTTTTAAGACAAATTTTGATTTGTTCCAGCTTTTTAGTTTAGACCTTTATTAGCACTATCCTGATATTGGAGGGGTAAATATTTACAATTAATTTAAAATTATTTTATTGGGGTTCTAAGTTATAGACCACAAAGGCAGTGTTTTGTTTTAAACAGTTAAAAATAAAATTATGCATTTTTGCATCTTACATTCTGAAAAGTGTGGTGTGCATTTGTATTCAGCTCCCCTTAGTCAGTTCCTGCTTACAAGCAAGTCTTTTGAGCTATATGTCTGCCAGATTTGCACATCTTCAGAATTAGTTTATTTTTGCCCATTTTCCTTTGAAAAATAGCTCGGTGATATTAATCGAAGAACATCTTTAAAGACTTATTGGAATTTTGCAACATATTTTGCCACTTCAATTTCGGTCCGTTTGACTGGTCGCTTTTGACACATGCTTTTCCTTTGATCCAAACTCATGCTTTTGTAGTTCTGGCTCTATAGTTGATACGAAATTAAAAAAATTCTGTTTACATGGAGACTAAATAAAATGATCCAATCGTGACATGTGTTTTTTTTTTTTCTGATTAGACCGAGTTGGCTTAGAGTCTTCAGTTTGACATGTTTACATGAAATATTTTTGATTTAATCAGCCCTTTAAACTGATTATTTGTGTGAACATAGCTGTTGTCTGCTGAAGCATATCCTTACATTTTGGTCTCGTTTGGACAGAGCATCCTATTTGTTTACATAAACATGAGGAATTGTTCATGAAAACAAATAACATATGTCTGTTTATAAGTAAAATCTGCAAATGGAATTAATTTTAGATTGTTTTTTTTAATTCTGAACAATATTTATTATTCATATTATTGTGTGGAACTTTATGTTTATGTTCTGTTGTTCCACAAATATGTTAAAGGAATTTGGTTAGATCCTATAATCTTCAACTTAATGACTTTGCTAAGAACCTAGAAAATGTCAGTTTTCTCCAGTTAATAACACTACATTGCTTTAAAGTCGATCCTGGAATCAAGCATTGCTTCTTTTAAGTTCCTTATATGTTGTCTGCTGGCACCATGATAAAATTAAAAAGACACTGTCTCCTGTTCTTTAAATAAAACAGGACACCCACTCACACTCAATTGGTATGTCACAGAGAACTGACTCAAATTTCTCTAAGAAATAACCAGCATACATGGCAGTGAAATTCAGATTGTTCATATTAGTTCTTTTTAATGTAAAATAAATGATCAGCAATGCGTTATTCACATTCCACCATGAACGGGCAAGATTACCTTGTATTTGAAATGGTCAGCACATCATAGTTTGTATTGAGGTTTGTACACAACTAATTTGCTGCAGTTATTAATCTATTTATGTTATCACATTCTTCATTAGATTCTTTTTTCTCTGTAGTTTATCTAACCAGTTTTTTTTTATTGTGTTTTGAATCTTTTCATGCTTACCTGTGAACCTTTGACCACCATATCTGGATCAGTTTGATTGCCTACCTCTAACCACTTGAATTTGAAGAGGCGCTGTATCAGTGTAACCTCCAGTCAACTAACATAACAACCCCTTGTGGTTTCTATTTACTCTTCACCACCTCCTCTCTATTTCCACTTTATTGCTGCACACTCTTGTTAGGACTGCATCCTCTACAGAAAGGGCTACAAAGAATGCATCCAAAAACACCACTATATACATGATTCATATATTTTTTAGTTGTCTATAAATGTATTGTGGTTATTTGTCCATTAGGGGATGCTAGGGAATCAAAGTAGAGCTGATGTGTGATGAAGTAAGCAGTAGGTCTTTTGAATGCTGCTCCCCTCAGAATGTTAAAGGCTATTAACACTATTTAATGAGTAATATGACATGTTTGTAAAATCCACTTTTGAGTGCAAGGTTTTTTTCTTTCTTTCACAGGCTTTTTAATTGTGATTTCGGCACATTTAATCAACACTCTGACCCAAATTCGGGTGTTACTAAACAAATTCGGACTCCGATTCAAAAATGTGTAACTGGTTATATAAATATGGAACATAAATGAACAAGGCTTTGCGCCAATCTGCGGCGATATAAGAAGCCATTATTAGACGAATCAAACTGACATAACTCAGAAGAGAGAGTGTCTGTTGCTAGGTAACAGAGAGAAAAATAAAATACTAAAACCACTCCAGTCAATGTTGGGTGAAAGCCTGTCTGCAATTATATAAATGCCCTTCAGAGCTCTGGCACCAAGTGCCATTAACGTTTCAGCTCTCGATACATGTCACCTGCAGCCAGACTTTCTCAGTCTTCCTCTCTGCATGATGTTTAAGTTGGAACTCCTTGGAGTTTGTTTGATAAAAATGTAAGATTGTAAGGCTAAATCAGATGTAGCAGCTGGCTTAATCTTTCTCAAAGTTTGGTAAGGCCTAGGCAAATATTAAAGCTTTTCTGCTCTTCTAATGATGCTATTTTTGTACTTCTCTGAGTAGGCTGCAAACAAAAGCCAAACAGCCTTAAATCAGGCTGCACCTGGTCATCTGCATACTGTTGTTCGGAGCATCAATGTGGTGACGGTGCTGTGCAAAAGTCTGTCAGCTTCTCCTCGCAAGATGTCAAGTGACCCTGATTGGGTGGTGTGCTCATGTTTGTGTGTTGGGGAAAACAGATTTCTGTAGGATGAGGTTGCTCTATTGTGCAACAGGGCTTTTGTTGGCAGAAATGAAAAGAAAAAAGCAGGAATTCAAGAGAGTTATGTAGCTATGGAAACAACAGCAAAGGAGAGCACTGGAGACACAAGCGCAGGGAGAAATATGTGCTGCTGGCAGAGATGGACAAATATTTTTTATCAGGCAACATAATTGGAGATGTTTTTTTCCCTTTGTATTGAGCTTTCAAAAAGTATTCACAATTCCTAAACATTTTAACATTTTATTTACTTACTTTTTCTTTATAGACTAGCACAGGTTAGAGTGTAATTCTCAAGTGAAATTAAAAAGGTAGAAAGATTTTTTTTTTCATGCAATTCTCTTCAGAAATTTGACAGTGGGGTTGTGTGTGCATCAAGTTTTTAAGTATTTTCATATTTTTTTTAATTAAATTAAAGTCTGGATGTTGACTAGGTTACCCTTACAAATGAACTTGTGGCAATTTAAATCTCTCATCTACTGTTAAAGCTGTATGTTCACTGCTATTTTTCTCCTCAAAGGTGAAGCTCTTCCCCCTTTCTAAAATAGCTGAGTACAAATTAATTTCACACTTTTCAGATTAATATTTCTAAAGCAATTTAGACCTATATTTGATTTCCATTCGCTTCAATTGGCATACTTTGCTTTGGTCTTTCACAGAAAAAATTTCAGTGAAATCCGTTGAAGTTTGTGGGTTTTAAAGTGACAAAATATGAAAAACAGTGAATACTTTTGTAAGACTCTGTGCAGTCGACCATAAAACAGAAATGGAAGTCTATTAGCATAATACACAAATCAAGATAAGATTTGTGTATTTAGGTCTTGCTTTGCTTGAAGTTTTACTCCGGGTTGGTTGCTGCTCACTATAGAGAAGGCAAATATGTCTTTTCAGAAATGTATTTTTAAATCCCCTTTAATCTTTTCTGCTTTCTCTTTTAGATCTCTTTTTTTTATGTCAAGTGAGATTTTGTCATTTTTACTTTCCCCTTGTTTTTTTTTTTTTGCCTGTCTACGCAGAAGGATCCATCAGTTAGCTCATACCCTAAAACACTGAGATGAGAATTCAAGGTGACTAATGCTGCTACAGTTGACTTTGATCATGAAAAAAAAAAAAAAAAAACAGCAGCATCAGTTGAATAATCTGTCTGTGGGGGCAGAAGTGGTCATCTTCATGAAAACGTTGGGGTGGGGGGGAGGAGGCAGCAGATGGAGTGAGAGAGCCCAGTCCTCTAATGAGGTCTCACTTGTGGCAAGGGGTGTAAAAAGACCCTGCTTTCTTCTGCTTTCCTTTAAAAAGGGAGCAGCCCTTAGATCTATTTCGTGTTCTATTTTTTTCCCCCTGACTTCCAAAAACACAAATCCAATATTAGCACAATGGCCCAGTTTTTACATTTTGCAACAGCCTAATGCTGTTAATAAAAATATGACAACACTGTACGTCTGTCTGGCGGAGAAACAACAATTTAATAGATGTTAAACAATTTATCTGTCCAGATCCCTCATGTATCACCTTATTATTTGTCTTTATTTTTTATTTTTATTTCACACATATTTTCTATTTCCCACAGCACCCACGATCATCTTTACATAATTATATTTTGAACCCACACAGCATGCTGTATATAGTCACTTTTTGTTGTTTTGGAGGATGTGTTTTTGTTCATCCTCAACAAACTCTAATTGCTATGGTAACTAGATGCACGTCCCTCCTCTCCAGCAGCTTCCATTCAGATGAAATTGGAAATGTCCATGAAGTATAGCGCTGTGGGAGGGGACAGGCGCTTATTTGTGCGATCCCGGTGGCTGCTTTTTTTCTCTTTCCACTAGGTGATAAGTCCAAGCGCGAAATACTTTTTTTTTTTTTGGGGGATGGATGGATGAGGCAAACCGGCTTGATTTCCACAAGTTGACCCCAGCGGGAAGATGCGTAAAGTTTTGAAAAGCGAGGCGAATTTCTCCGTCTGATGCGCTGATCGTAGTTTTTGATTCCCGCTGTTTGCTTAACCACTACCAGCTTGGATGTTGGTAAAGATTTACAACTTCAGTGGATTTTCTATAAACTGCTTGTATTAAAAGTTGCTCAGAGCTGATTATTGCGCGCTCTCAAAGTTGATTTTCTTTACAACCCACATTTTAACAATCTTGATTTGATGCATGGGAGCTTTTTATTTTTTATGAGAATTAAAGCAACTAAGTGATATACTAGTTTTTTTTCCCCGTGTGGAGATGGAGTGAGAGGATCTTGCAACTTGTAAAGGAATCTAGCAGCTCGAAAAGCTGAGAGCGGACTGCAGGTGGATGATTTTTTGCACTATTCGAACTCCTCCTCGTAAGTAAGACTAAATCTGTTGACTCCTTATGTGTGGCTATTGTTGTTGTTTTTGTTTTTGCTTTTTTAGAATGGCTCGGTTCGGAGACGAGTCCGTTCCCGCCACGGTGGACTCCGGGGATGGGGACTTGGAACAAGGTGGCGACGGACAGGACACCGCGTCCGGCGGGCTGACGGCTTCAATGAAGCAAGCCAAGGCGCAGCGGGCCCGGACCATGGCCCTCTACAACCCCGTCCCTCACCGGCAAAACTGCCTCACCGTCAACAGGTCGCTCTTTATTTTCGCAGAGGACAACATCATTAGGAAATATGCAAAGCGGATAATAGAGTGGCCATATCCTTACCTTAAAAGCGTGGTTTAAGTAAAAAAAAAAAAAAAAAAATGCTATTGCTTTTATTTATTTTGGGGGGAATGGAAGATGTTGCCGCGGGTTGTAGGTTCAGCAAAAAAAAAAAAAAAAAAAATGCTATTGCTTTTATTTATTTTGGGGGGAATGGAAGATGTTGCCGCGGGTTGTAGGTTCAGCACAATGGACAGCTCCCTCTTTCTCGCTCTCTATCTCTCGCTCTCTTTCTGACTTTTCTTCTCAATGAGAATTAGCTTCTCAAATCTAGTGATAATTTAACTTTCTGTGTACTTCCCTCTCTAATATTTGCTGTGCGATTTATTCGTTGCTGGTTTTGACAGGAAACGGAGTGTAAGCATGTGATGATCATTAGAGTCAGCTCTGCTCAGTGAGGGGGTGGCATGTAGGCACATCTCTGCTGCCTTAGTGCTCATTGGAATATGAACCTGGCCATGAGTAGGAGTTAGTTCAAATTCAGCAGGCAGTGCTTTTCTGATTCTCTGCTGTACTGCTGGTAAACAGTTTTCCTTTCTTTTAAAAGCTTTTCGTGGAATTTGTCTTGCCAGTGCATGATTCTGCAACAACACAGATGACAGAAGAAGCTTGTTTACTTTCTTTTTATTGTCATGCACATCTTAAGGCTCAGTTCCTTGCATCATCAGCTCAGAAGGACCATTCAGTTGCCATATCTGCCCACCTCTCCTCCTGCCTCACACCCCCTCTAGTATAGCATGCCAGTCTCCTACAGTTACCTAACCACATGCTCTCTGTGGGCGTGTGGGAGTCGGGCGAGTGGTCAGCACTAGCTGGCCACTGATGTGTGTATCAGTGGAGGCAGAGGTATGGTGCATGTGTGGGAGAAAGATGGCCAGTATAGTAATTTTGTGGCTGTGAAAACAGCACGTGTCAGAGTGTTGACTGGGTGAGACCTAAAACGTCCAAAAATCTGAGAGTGTGGGTGCAAAACAAATCTGTGTGAATATTTACAAGTCAAGTAACAGTGGTAATTGCACACTTCTACCAGAGCTTTAAAAGAATTTCATGAAGGTTGCTTCCTCATTGTACATTTATTGGCTAAGAAAGACTGCACTCCAATAGTCAAATAAAAAAAAACTTATATTATTTTATATGTTATGCCACATTGTACCATTTTATTTAGAATTGGAAAAGAAAATCTATTTCTATATTAAAATCTGAAAAATGTGGCATGAGGCTGCATTCAGCCTCTGGGTTGGTAGTTTGTAAAACCACCTTTGGCTGTAATTATGGCTGCAAGTCTTTTGGGGTATGTGTCCACCTACTTTTCCATTCTTATTAGCTCTCCCATCCCTTAAGAAAAGCATTATCACAGCATAATGCGACAGGTACAATGTTTCCCTGTAAGGACATTGAGTTGATGATTATAATTCAGTTTCATTCCAGTTCAGTTATTAATTTAGTGCCAATTCACAGCTAAGGTAATCTCAAGCTACTTTACAGAGACAATACTCTCAGATTGGTTAGGAAAATCAGTTATTGACTTGGAAGACATGCTCCTCCTGAAGGAGTTGAGCTATTGATTTTCACTTGAATTTTTTGGCTGACCTTCAGCAATCCATCATACCATGCATATATGTACCGGCAGTGTAGAGGAAAACTACCTTATAAAAGGAAGTAACCTGCAGCAGAACCAGACTCAGTGAGAGCAGCCATCTGCAGAGGTCGACTGGGGTTCAAGGAAAGAGAAGCAGACATACAAAAAGAAGCATATATACAAAAGTTAACTGTTAACTGGTGCCACAGGAAGGACACAGCCAGGCAGATGAGCTCCAAGCCAATTCCTCTAGTTTCAGTCAAAGAAACAGGACAACAATGAAATATAGGCCCTACTCATACATCTATAATTAGCGAGGTTGATGGCAGCAGCACTCAATCAATCCAGAATGGAGTCACAGTCAAACAGTCAAAGACAAGATGAAGTTACTATGATGAGGAAAACGCAGAGAGAACCTACAATTTTGGATGGAACTAAAGCTTAAACCTTTGCAGCATGAACATGGAAAATAGCTCTGGATAACTAGCTATTTTAGAAAAGGTATGAGAAATATACAGCCAAGACAGAGGTGATACAAAGCCTTCACTTCCAGAATACTTTGTGCATCATGTGTAGGCAAAAAAGTTCTGTTTTGGTCTAATTTAATCAGACAATTCCATCTGTGTCAAGTATATGGCCTGTAGAAAACTCACCGGCTACCTTCCCACAATTGCTTTAATTTTTCCAAGGTACTCACAATGACAATATTTGTAAAGCACACAAGACATGGGTCATCTAACTGTGGATAACTGTAGCTCTTCCAGAGTCATACCACTTGGTTGCCTCTCTGATTGCTGCTCTTTTTTTTTTTAGTTTTTAGAAAACTCACCAAACAGAGTTCAGTATTCTGTCCAAAGTTTAAGGTACCATTTTAAATCCCAATTTCTGCTATAAATGTCTCCAAAATGTTATCTCTGATTTCTTTGCTGTGATGCTTGGCGATTTTAATGCTCGTTGTTACTAATGCTATCCAACAGACTTATTGAGCCTTTACTGAATGGGTGTATGTAAACTGAGATTAGGAGACATAGTTATGGGCTCTTTACTTTTACTTTTAAAATTCACTCAGGAGTATAGGGGGCTGAATGTATATTCACCTACCACTTTACAGTAAAAAAAAATATAATGTAATATTTTTTGTGAATGTAGAGAGAATAAAAAAAATATAGCATATTTTTCTTTAGCTTTACAATTGAACACCACTTCAATGCCACCAATCAAATAAACTCCCATTCCAATCAACAAGATAAAATAATTCTTAATAATCTTAATAATCCTGTATATTGATCAGCAATATTTTTTTTTAGCTATTTTTGTTATTTTTCTAATATGGAAATCTTCTTTGTATTTATTTCAACCTCAGCTTGAAAACTGTTTAAATACACTGGAATTTGATTCATCAAAAATCAATTAATTACTGTAAGGCATAAAGGAAAAAGTCTTATTGACTTTTTATGAAAGACTAAGGAAATTCACTTTAATGCATGAAATTAGACTACGGTAGATAAATCAGGGCTGTACCCTTGTTTTTTTAATTATTTTTTTATCAGGAGCACTAATGCCCAATTGAAAGAAATTAGGAGCATTGATTTCAATTAAAAACAACCCGGTCATTCATGTTTCGTTAGGCTGTCTTTCTTCAACGGAGGTTTCCAATCACAAAACCTACGTACTCTCAAGCCTGGTTCTGCCCTTTGCAATATAAGCTTGTCCTCAAACTTAAGCCAAGGGAAGAGTTGGATCCAACTTATAAACCTTGATAGCAGTGTCGCTAGATATCCTCAGAACACTAAATTCTGGATCTATGTCCTATCTGTTGACATCTCTCATTAATAATGACATAATCACATAATTTACATATTGAAGGTACATCAATATTGACAATACAGAAAGTGATTCAAATACTCCAAATACATTTAAAACTCAAGATGAACTTTATAAAACATTTTCTAGTGTTCCTGGACATTCTTCCAGTCTCTTATTTTTAAAATCTAACAAATATCTTATTTAAATCAAACCTTTTTTTGGAGTAAAACGCAAATGAAATGGGTGAAATTTGTACTTCCACATGTGCTCCTAGTTTTTTTTTTTTTTTCCTACTTGTCGCATTATCTGTTATAAGGAGCAAATACAAGTTAAACACTTGCAATGCACTGCTCTGTTAATATATCATATAAGACAAAGGCAATTTTTTAGTCAGCTGAACATGGTTGGATACTTAGAAAAACAAGATATATAAGATGTTTGACTTTGGTTGGTATTGACAAACAATATTTACAGTTACAGTTTGTATGGAGCTGGTGGACAACCTGGCTAGGGGAAAAATATGTTGCCCTTCTATATTGATCTGGCTGTTACTTAGTGAATGTAATGATTTGTCCTTAGAACCTTTTAAAAAAGAAGTAAAAAGAAATATGTGCCAAAAGAAAGAAAATGACAGAGCAAAGCTGCACATATAAAGAGTTCAGTGGATAAAGGCTTTTTTAATTTCGTTGCAGTGACTTGCACAAGTCTTTACTTTATCTGTGATAAGTATTTATACTTTTGTTTTGCTCCAATTTAACACAGTGAACTAAGACAAAGTAGATGTAAAATGTAAGAAAAAATACAGTTTGATTATTTTTTTATGTTTTTTTAACACGATTTAAAAGGAAAAATTATTTAAAACAATGGTCTATCTTTTGTCTTTACCCTTCTTTACTTTTATACAGAGTACACAGTATAAAGCATAATGTCATGGGGAAGTTTAAACCACAGGTTAAAAAACAACCTCTTAAACTAGGAACTTCTTACAAAGCAGTCATAAATAATTTAGTGTAAATACAACACAACTGCAAACCTTCGCATAAATGTCTGTCCACCAAAAGTTACCTGACAGGTCAAACACCACATTTACTAGAGAAGAAGAAAAAAGGCATGTGGTCACACTAGAAGCTGCATATATCTACAGCTAATGTAAGAGAAGTTTCAAAATATAACTGTTAGCTTTGCTGGCTACATGTATAAGGTTAGCTAAAGAATGGCATGAAGAGAGTCATTGTTTAAAAAAAAAAAAGTCAAACCAGCTTTGCAGGGAATGGTAGTGCTTTTATAAGGCGACCAAATCAAAGTGCTGGCCTATTATTATTATTATTATTATTATTATTTTAAAGTGATTTTCCTTGGTATCAAGATTATGCTTTCTGTTGAAATATCTGAAGTAAAATACAATCACATCATGAGAAAATATGGGAAATATGTGTCAGGGTGTATGAGCAGTAAGACTGTTCATGTTAGGCTAGAAAAGTAGGAATGCAGTTTGTGATTAAGAATTGACTAAATATAAAAAGCAGGTAATGATTATAAAAGGACAGGATTACAGTATTAATGGATTTATTGAATGATTATTGTCATTATAATCTAATGATTATTATCTATTTCCAACTACTTTTCGATCCTAATATTGTCTAATGTGAGTCATTATGTGTCTCAGAGGATCCTATCTAAGCTCCCCTCCTTGAATCAGTGACCCCATTTCGTTCATAGTAGGAAAATTAATAATGAGCAGCACACCCCTCATGGGAGCCCCGTTGAACTGAATGTCACAAATGTTGGGGCCTAAATAGTTTATGCCACTTAACACATGTACGTGTGTCAGATTCTGGAGGACAGTGAATTACGTGAATTTTACGAAGTAAAAAACGTACCAATCACAGTAGCATAGATTTACACTTACTCTGGGACTAGAATTAAAGAGGATTAATATGACATTCATGAATCCATTACCACTTTGACCAGGACTTTAATAAAAAATTTGCATTATAACTTTGTTGTTTGATTTTCCATCATTTTGGCCCTTTAAAGTGATACAAATTAAGTCAATGAATAAAAAAGATGAAAGTTAAAAAACAAGTTAAAATAATGCAAACAATAGTAATAAGTCAGGTTTGGTGGATGTTGTTTTGGACTCAGACGCAGATTAGAAGGAGTCAGAGGTGAATCCTTTCAGGTTTAATGAAATAAAGAAGGTAACAGAAGAAAAAGTCCAAGGACAATTACAGGAAAACAAAAATCAGGAGACTTCAGGGGGGGGAAAAAAGTGAAACAAAACAGCAACAAGAAACCAGCATTGATGAACTGCAGAGGAGAGTTATATGTGGGAGACTGAACCAAGAGTGGAGTATTTAGTTAATTGGGAGCAGGTGTGGACAGAAGCAGCTAGAAAGGAGCCGGGTGGAAAGGAAAACGGCACCAGGAGGCAACAAAGAGCAACCAGGGGAAACAGGGCTTAACTGTAACTAGAAAAGAACTCAAAATGAAAACTTACACAGAACCAAAAAGTACAGTGGCAGATAATGACAATAATGCAAACCAATGTAGTCCTATAATAATTCAAACAACGCAACATTATTGTGTATGAAACCTGTAAAAGAGCACTGATGGATAGAGAGAAAAAAAATCATCTCTGTAAAAAGGACAGGGCTGCACAATTTTAGGCATGCATACAGGGAGTAGATTATAAAAATTATTGTCTTCCTGCTGCAGTATTCTGCCCTGTGTTGAATTTTTTTTCTCAACTAATAACAATCTACCATTGGTATTTCTGACTGTCCAAATATGTTCACAAACTTTCTGTACAATGAGACAGATCTCATGATCTGTCTCATTGTACCAATGCCTACTTTGTGGTGAAAAAAATGACCCTAAACTTTCAAATATGCTAAATAAAGATGCAGAAATTGTACCTATACTTTTCAGGTTTAAAAAAATCACTTTGTTTGCAAAGAGTTATATTGCTATATCCTCCAACCAGGTACTTTGCATACCGGTACTTTTGTCATGAGCATTTTCTCTGCGTATCCATAAAGCTGCATATTCATAAAAGTTTAGCTTTTTCTGCTTATTTTTGAGACAATTAAATATGCATCTTGTTAATAGATCACCCTTGTGTGGGCTATCACATCTGGAATTGTTTTTTATATTAGCAAACTTTCCAAAGATTGGGCCCTGAGTTTATAAAGACTTCAGTCTACAGTTTTGCCAGCTATTCATGGAAAAAGGAACCTGACTGTAGTTTGAACAGTTAGATCATCAGGCCAAGGTGACTTCACAGTGCACTCATTTTCCCTCCCTAACCTGCTCCTCTTACTCTTCATGAAAAGCACTTTTAAAAGCATGTTACCATGGATACTTGCAGTCTGTCTAACTGATTGCTTTCAATACCTGGGAAAATGTATCATGGTAGTACATCATCCATTACACAATTTCCTTCCCCTTTCTACTAAAAATATATTTGTAATTCAATTAGTAAGCATTAAAGCATAAGTGCATCTAGTGAGCTTTACTATCTTAATGTTTTTTTTATGTTTTCCATGTTGATTTGTTCTGTTTTTGTCCTTGGGATAAAATTACTTTCCTTAACCTTTTGACCTTTACACCCTTTGAGTACATGATCCTTGCTACCATCACAGCCAACTGTGTTGTCCTGGCCTTGGAGCAGCACCTCCCTGGAGAAGATAAGACCCCTATGGCAAAAAGACTGGTAATATTTGGTTTGACTTCTGCGATGTAGATCTATGGAGGAGTTGCAAACAAATGCAAACCTGTTGAGGGTTGTTTTTAACCTAAATCTGCTGATATTAATGAGTATGTGACATGTGGACAACTAATAACCAATCAAAAGAAGTTTTTTTTGTTCATAAGAAGGGAATATTTTAGATATTTGATGACAGCACGCCCTGCTCTGACCTAAGTGGTATAAGTTTTGCAGATGCAGGAAGATAGTAAATGTTTTGTGTTGTTTTGGTCTGATTTTCTCAATAGACAATCATTCTAGGTTTAATTATCACTTAGACAGATAAGTAAATTTATGATACGATACCCTGCAGTAAGTAAGTCTTTTTTATAAAATATATGGATGTATGGAGGAATTAGTTAAAACAAGTTATTCCGACATAAAATGACATAAATTACACACAGGTATAACTCCTCAGATGTAGATTATGCACATTTATTTACTAAGTAGCCTTCTGGGAAAAGGTTGCCGTGTGACCTTAAGAGATTTAATTGGCCTTGCTCCTGACTTTTGAAGTGAGTGTGAAAAATATGTTAGATTGAATGAGCTGTTTAAGGACTTCAGGAAAAATTTTCTGTCAACCAATGAGTCTTGTAAAAAATGTAACATATCTCTCATAAATTGAAACCAACCATTTCACTCTATTTAAAAAAAGGCTTTTGCCTTTAACAAGTTACCCTTAAGAGCAGATAGCAAGATGCCAAACGATGCTTCATACAAAAGTGTAAAAACGACTCCCATAGCCGGCTCTTTCTAAGACTTTAAAGAAGATTTAGCCTGTAGATAAACATATTTTGCTTAAAACAAAAAGGGCACCCCAGGAAAAGAGCCTCATACTGATGCTGAAGCATCAAGGCAGAAGTGACATGGTTTGGGAATAGAAAAAAAGTTTTGTTTCAAACCATTATGTTGACCCTATAACATGACCTAAAGCATTTTAAGAAAACCAGAAAGAAATAGAAAAATCACGTAGTCCAAGAACACGATCCACGAGATATTTAATGACTTAAACAAGCTTTACATTCCTGACTCATCTCACAGCTAAATGTGAAGTGTGGTTCAAGGTTTTCCAAAACTGTTATATGTCCACATCATGACTATAATATCAGTTTTCTCAGCTAACGGGTCAAAGGCTATTGAGTGTTTAGATGTTTCCTCCTCATGTATTTCTTGAAGTCTTTGTTATTAACTTCATATTATCTGGTTTCTGTTTCATTAAAGTGAAGACCAAATCATTTTGATAAAGAATTGAAGCTACATAGCACCTCCAAAATAAAGCATGTCGGATTTAAATAGTAGAAGCTTTCTTTTGTTTATGAGGATAACACTTTTTTTCATGACCATTATATCGGATTTTAAAACAGCTTCAAAAAGTTTATGTTGTTTAAGTCTTAATACAGACAGTTTTACAAATTACATACCATAGCCAGTCTGGGTTACTATATTTCTATTTTGTCTGATGATGCCTCTGACCGTTGTCCTGACTTTCCTCCCACAGGAGAAGACAGAGCCCTACTTCATTGGGATATTCTGCTTTGAGGCAGGGATCAAACTGGTGGCGCTTGGTTTTGTTTTCCATAAAGGGTCCTACCTGAGGAATGGCTGGAATGTCATGGACTTTATAGTCGTTCTCAGTGGGTGAGTTACATCAACTATTTAATCACATTGAGAATTTTTTTTTAGTTTTGTATGAATGCCAAAATGTATAATATAGGAGGTCATAATAGAAACAGCTGTTGGGTCGCGACAGCCTATGGCCCCAGTGGGCCCCTAAGACAGTAAATCCCATAGTGCTTTGCGAGGAGAGCTCTCGACAAATTCTGGGATATACCTGCTCGTCTAGTTAACATGGATGATCACTACTTTTTAAGGTGCATTGTGAGAAAATTCGAGTCTCATTCAGTTAGAGGACTTACTTCAGCTCTGAGTCACACAGGACAACATTTTTCCACCTATGAAGGGTTATAAGTAAAGTGAAATAATGTCAGCGGCACTGAAAGGCTGCATTCATTGAGATTTCTTGCTTTTAATTTTCCATGGGATTTTGAGTTGAGGTTTGTGTGTTATTATTTAGCTCTCTGAGGTTACATATAACTACTATATCCCTTTGTTTTTTTGCGTCAGTCATTTATTTCTCCTGTGGTCCATTGTAACACTTATTTGGATTCTGTGTTAATCTCTAGTCAGCCTCCCCCAGTTGCCTTGTGCAGCTTTTTCCTAAAAGCTGCAGCACATTCACTTTATTAGATTCACCTTTTCACTCCTCCCTGTATCTATCTCCCTCACTCTCTTCTGGCATATATTCTTGCTCTTGTATTTCATGTTCCCTGTTACTCCCCTTTGCACTGAATGATAAGAACATTGAAAAATAGTCCAGAAGAAATTGAATAGAATAGGATAAGATAGTATTCTATCTATTTTATCCTATTCTATTCTATTTCTTAGAGTAGAGTAGAGTAGAGTAGAGTAGAGTAGAGTAGAGTAGAGTAGAGTAGAGTAGAGTAGAGTAGAGTAGAGTAGAGTAGAGTAGAATATTGTCCCTTAAAGGAAATTTGTCATGGACACAAAAGTGCATAGTGCTTAGTAGTAGCTTCAATTAGAATCAATAAATACACATAAAAAACAAATACCAGGTAAGGACGTACACATACCCTACCTACACACTAATAACACATCCAATTAAACAAAAACAAAAAAATATAAGAATAACATACAATACCTTAAACAACAAGCAGAACTCCAATTTAGTGCACACTTCCCGCTTTTCATATCTATTTAAAATTTTGATTTAATATTCTGATGAAGGTGGGTATAAAGGCGTATTTAAAGCGGTTCAGTTTGCTTTTTGATATTCTGAACCTTCTGCCTGAAAACAAAAGCTCATATTCCGTATAAAGGATGTGGGGCGGGTCCAGCAGTAAACACAGGTAGTTCTTCTTTTCAGACGCTTTTCAGTGCGACTTTGATTTGGACTGTGTGGAGAGACTGCTGATCCACGCCGTCATCCCATACCTGATGACACTCTCTATCACTGGGTCACATCCCTCATTGAATTGTGAGTCAGATGAGGGCAAATGGATGGTGAATCTTCTGAGTATTGTTCCTAAAAGTACGGGTGAAGATTCTCAGTCATCCAGGTCATAGTCATTCCAAAAGTAATAAAAAACAATGGATCTTTTTTTGTTTTGTTTTTTACTATTTTGGAAGTGGATGAAAGGTTATGTCTAAGACCACCTCCTCTGTTGAGAGATGGATTTTCCATATTAACAAAGATTGCTTCCCCCTTGCTTAAACCATCTTTCTTCGTTTGCAAGAATATGGACGTTATTGTCCTCAGACGAGTGTCCTTTAGCCTTCAGGTGTAGGTGAACGTCTAAGTCCTGTCCTGAGGAATTGGCCCTCGTGTTTTGAGCCATGTGCCTGTGAAGTGGTTGCTTGGCAATACATTTTTGTAGTGGAAGATGGAGATTAATATAGAAGAATTCCAAGAAGAAATAATTTAAGCGACTACTGAAAGCTGGGTACTGAGACTTACAGGATGAAGATACACCATATGAAAGGGCAATGGCCTCTAACAGCCTGAGCTACCATCCATGGTTAAGATCAAAGCTTAAGGTGGTTTTAGAGAGAGGTCAGTCTGTGACGAGACTTGAACTATTATTCATAGATAATCACTGCATAATTTAAGATTGATGTATTTTGCCTAGAACTTTCAATGATTTAAGTTTCTAACTATGGAAAACTGGGAAATGTACTGTAAAAGAATCCCTATTCTTACAAACTTCACAATTTGACTCTAGAAGTTTTTACCACTGTTGTAACACAGCAAAAGCATCAAATCACATGTTTGAATTTGTTGCACCTCTACAGGGTGTAGTTCACCCATAGGCGTCAATCTTGCTTTAGGATTTTAAGCCCATGTAGAAAATAGTTGCATATACATAACTGAAATAAATTTTGAAGAGGCATTATCAAGCTTTCTAATAATACTGCCACCTGTGGTCCAAACACAGAACTGCAGCACTCTTCTGCTAGTTCTTGTAGCAAATTTTTTTCCCCCACCTGACCTGGAGTTGCCATTGGCGCCTGAGTTGAGCTGGATGCCCGTCGCTTTGGAGTATCAACAAAATCCATCTTGACTATAAAGCTTTCACAGTTTGCTAGGTCGGACCGATTTAACATGGATGCGCTTCATTGATTGATTGACTTTATTTATCTCACAGTGGAGAAATATTCTCGTTACATCCATTCAATAGTAAAAAAGAAGAAAAAGGTCCCAAAAGGAACAGCTGAAGTCTCTTATTTAGCAGTATTATTATACCGGGTTATTGCACAAGGTATTAAATGGGTATTTATATAGATGGGTATTTATATATATATAGCTATTGTGCTGGGTATCAAATATAAACAAATGATTGCACAGGGTAATAAATAGTAATTGCATATTAGATATTGCACAAGTTATTGCCGTTGTTGTGTTGCATTGTAGAGTCTGATGGCAGCAGAGATGAACAACTTGCGGCGGTGCTCCTTTTTGTTATCATTGTGATATTAGCCCTACAGATGAACTAGTGCCAATTTAGCATGGTTCGGTTGTGTTGGTGTTGTGGGGTTCAGTTGTGCGTGCCATTTACACTCAGCACGGACCGATCTCGGCGCAGTCTCAAGAGGGTAGTGTAAATGGGGCTATAAAAGGTTTTATAGCCCCATTTACCTCCTGAGGAGGACCTCCTCCTCAGGAGGTGGAGGCGGCTCTGGCCCTTCTTGTACAGGGCGTCGGTGTTTTGAGTCCAGTCCAGTTTGTTGTTGACATGAACCCCAAAGTTTTTGAACTCTCCACAGTTTCTATGTCCTGCCCCTGGATGTTCATAGGGGAATTAGGTGGGTGTCTTCTCCTGAAGCCGATCACCATCTCCTGGATCTTGCTGGTGTTAAGACACAGGTAGTTCTTCCCGCACCAGTCCACAAATTTTACGATGACCGACTGCTACTGTACTCCAGCTCATTCCCTCAGAAACAAAGCCCACAAATGTTGAGTCATCAGAGAACTTCTGGAGATGGCAGCTGTCTGTGTTGTAGGTGAAGTCAGAGGTGTAGAGGATGTCACATCCGCTGAACAGCACGGAAGTTCTGACCCAAAGTAGGCTACAGGCATGTAGATGCATCGGTGCTGAACTACTGAGGAATCCGTCTGCCCAGTAGCTATGTTTTAGTCATAAATGGTCAAGTAAAAAGTCTATTTGAATGATATTTTTCCGTAAAAACTTACATAACGTCTCTTTAATGTGGAAGCATGTAAAAAGGCAATACTTGGAGGCAGACGTACAAAGAGTGGGATCAAAAACATTCATTGTGTCTGAATGTTAGTAGGTATTTTTAGAAGTATGTCAAAGAAATTCAATTGTAAAATTTTAGAAATGTTTTAAGTTATCACTAAGCAACTGATTCTTTAATTACTTTCAAATGAATTCATTTTTTAGTTTACCAGGCTGTGGCAGGTGAAGCGAAGGATTAATTTCAGACACTGATTGTCAAATTGTGTTGGAGCATTCATGCATGTGCTGCTGCTGGTGTTGAGGTTTATCAATATTTTTCATATGTGTTCTCATGCTGCAGCTGAATGAACTCTAATGCGCACACACCAACTCTCATGTTTGAGATATGCTTCTGAATTGTTGACTCAAATGTTATATAAACTCCTTTACATATTTGTTTTTCATACATGCAACATGAATCTATAAGAAAACATGACACATAGATGCTGAAAGAAGTGTGCTTGTATGGTGCAGTCAGGCTCTGGAGTCAGAGGTAGGTGGGTGGATAAGTGGATTGGCGGTTGTGTCTAAAACTCGCTCTGATTCACCCCCAGGACCTCTGTGCATTGAATGTGAAAGCAGCACCAGAGAAGGCTGGCAAAATCATAGAAAGAGCAGATGGATAAAAAAAAGGGGGCATGGAAAAGACAGAAAAAATGGGAACACAAACATGATCAGTGTTAATTTGTTCCATGTAGGACTGGCTGTTGTGAGTTAATCAGGCTCTGGTGTTTGTTGTGCACTATTCAAACATGCAGGGAGGATTGCTGTTGGCATCTTGACATCTCATTTCAATTTTGACACCCACATCTTTATTTTCTTCTGTTTCTTATTTCTCTTTCCTCCGTTCTCCCTTTCACTCTCTGTCTTACATAAAAAGAACATCAGCAGTACATTTGTTGACCAGTAAATGCCGAGCAGCTGGGTGGGTGACAGATTTGCACAGAATTTACATCATTGAGTATTCAGGAGGTTTGGAAAAAAAAATAGAGCTTTGATATTCTAAAATTTTCTCATTCGGAGTCTGTCAATGTTTGCAGTAGCAATTGCTTTGAAATGAAGGCCTGCTACTCAAGTGAAGTCAAAAACGGGTTTATTGCAACATTGCATTACAGTGTATGCAGGATTCCCAGCTTGGAATAACACAGACTCACCTCACAGACTAAACAAAAACTACAGAAACATGAAAACATTTGAGGAGAAAAATGTAGCTTAAATTAAATTTATTTTCTCTTAAATATCTTGGTTACCAAATTGTCGGAAGTTGGCAAGAGAGTCTCGCAGCAGACCTGCACTGTCAGGACCCTTCGTTGCAGCTCTGGG